TAACAATGTGTTTCACAACAAACATGTTTTTTAACCTCACACTACATTAGCGTGAATGTATTTCAATACACGTTGGTCAAGCTGGTGTACAAATTGGTAATGCTTGTTGGGAGTTATATTGTCTTGAGCATGGTATTCAACCTGATGGTCAGATGCCTTCGGATAAAACAATCGGAGGCGGTGATGACTCATTCAATACCTTCTTTAGTGAAACAGGAGCTGGTAAACACGTTCCACGTGCAGTTTTTGTGGATTTGGAACCAACAGTTGTAGGTAAGTAATTGTATGATATTTTGATACATTATGACTTAAAAATAAAAGCCGCTCTTTATAGGTCAGAATTAACATAAACCGTTCAATATGACCTTCTATACCGTTGATTATCTTGACATTATGTGGACACACAATGTACAATTACATGGTTTTTTTTTTATTCCCGTGCAGCTTTTCCATTATAATTACTTCACATCCATCTACCTTCTTTAGGCAATAAAATAATACGGAAGTTGACCATTTCGAACCTTATTTAAACTTGTTTTATGATTGATTGTTTCAGCTTACTGTACCTAACCTAGAAAGTAAAAGATTTAATGCTCCTTAATATGATCAATTTTAGTTTGAATACAACGTGCTCTTATCCTAGTTATGGTATTTTCATTATTCTGGTTGTTAGATTTAAATCTATGTCAACTCTTGTTAATCAATTAACTAATCAGGTGTACCACAGCTAATATACTGCTTTTAGGGTATACTTAAATTGTAGTAGAATGATTCTATTTTCCATCTACATTAATCCAGTTATAGGTGACGTTATGAGATGGTGGAGAAGATTTGTAGCTCAGGTGGATGATTTTGGTGGAGTTTTGTTCTCTGAGCTAAATGGTTTGGTCGTGGAGCTTTCATCGTTCTTCTGAACGACATCATCAGCACAAACTTCAGGTAGAATCATGTATTAAGTATGTCTAGGCCAGCACTATTCCTTTTAACCAAAATGTATAAAAAGAAACGAATTATCTCAGGGCTGTTACAGTGTTCGAACCTAATTTTAAAACAATAAGAGTGACCACCGGATCTCAACTTTATTAAAATCGTAATCACTGAGCAAATTACTGACAACGAGTTTGAGCATTGCGAAAGGGATAAAAAAATGTTCATGAGCGCTGAAGTGGATGTAGAAATTAAATATACACCACTGTTGTTTTAAAGTTGTTCTAAAAATATAAATTCTCCCATAGCCTATAGTTGATAATAATAATAATAATTGAAAATTGGAATTGCTTCTATATTTTCTAGATGAAGTTCGTACGGGTACATATAGACAACTATTTCATCCGGAACAACTGATAACAGGGAAGGAAGACGCAGCTAACAATTACGCTAGAGGCCATTATACAATTGGTAAAGAAATTGTTGATCTGGTACTCGATCGTATTCGTAAATTAGCGGATCAATGTACTGGCCTACAAGGTTTCTTACTTTTTCATTCATTCGGTGGCGGTACTGGCTCCGGTTTTACATCTTTACTTATGGAACGTTTAAGTGTAGATTATGGGAAAAAATCTAAGCTAGAGTTTGCAATCTATCCAGCTCCTCAGATTTCCACTGCTGTTGTAGAACCTTATAACTCAATCTTGACTACTCACACCACATTGGAACATTCTGATTGTGCTTTTATGGTGGATAATGAAGCTATTTACGATATATGCAGGTAGATTTATAGTTTAGTTATTTGGTTACTTTTTTTTGGAGACCATCATTTTAGCAAAATATTAGATTTTTTTATTACTGCTACATTTTAGACGTAATTTGGACATCGAACGACCAACTTATACCAATCTGAACCGCCTAATCGGACAAATCGTCAGTTCAATAACAGCATCACTTCGATTTGATGGTGCACTGAACGTTGACTTGACAGAATTTCAAACTAATCTGGTGCCGTATCCTCGTATTCATTTTCCTTTAGCTACTTATGCACCAGTTATTTCTGCTGAGAAGGCATATCATGAACAGTTAAGCGTGGCAGAGATTACTAATGCTTGTTTTGAACCCGCTAACCAAATGGTGAAATGTGATCCACGTCATGGAAAGTATATGGCTTGTTGTATGTTATATCGTGGAGATGTTGTGCCTAAAGATGTCAATGCTGCCATAGCTACAATAAAGACTAAGAGAACAATTCAATTTGTAGACTGGTGTCCAACTGGTTTCAAAGTTGGTATTAACTATCAACCACCAACTGTTGTACCAGGTGGTGACTTAGCCAAAGTTCAAAGAGCTGTCTGTATGTTAAGCAACACCACAGCTATTGCAGAAGCTTGGGCACGTCTAGATCATAAATTTGATTTGATGTATGCTAAAAGAGCATTTGTACATTGGTATGTCGGTGAAGGTATGGAAGAAGGTGAATTTTCGGAAGCTCGTGAAGATTTAGCAGCTTTAGAAAAAGATTATGAAGAAGTTGGTGTTGACAGTGTCGATGCTGAAGGTGAAAATGAAGAAGGTGAAGAATATTAGTTCTTTTTTTGAAAATGAATTCTCTGAAGTCATAAATTAAAAAAATATCTAAATAAATAAACAGTAGGTCATATTACACTACTTGTACTTTGCTCATCAAATGTGATTGTGTATAAAAATAAAAATAAAGAACTCTTTAGTTACTGACCGATTGTACTACAAAATGATTATTTAAATCAGCCCTTTTAAAATTAACTAATGGTTAAGCTAGTAAAGAATAATTTTGATAGTGTAAAGATCTATAATCCAGAAGAGAATGTAGTCGTTCGTCTTAGCTTGCTTGCCAAATAGATACAATTTCGAATTCGCACAGATTCTAATCTATACGTTTATAGTGAGTACGATATCTCTAGTTTATAGAAATAAAATCCTATAGTAAACATTTACGATTTCAAGTAGGTCAGAATAAATGTTCATTACTGCTAAACAAAGGATATTAACTTATCGTATACTATAAGACAGTTAAAGCGAATACAGATCAATCAGATTCAAATAAGTTCTATAGAAACTAAAATGTCACTAGTTACAGTTATTCAGTAGATAGTTTATTCGCTTAAATCAATTATGAAGTAACACTAATGTAATACCTTGTATAAAAATGCATCATTCGTTTAATTAAAATACTAGTACGGTTAAGTCTATCGAAGCGTCCAAGTTACCAGGTTGAGATACGCGCAAAACCGAAGTTTCCAAAACAACGATTTGTCTACAATAGCGGTTCTTTATTAAATAATACACTAAATTTAGTTACAAACCTCAACTTGTGAGGTGTCTGGACCGTTTAAACGCGTCCTTCAAGTATGAAAATAAAAAGGCTTCGACAGTACAAAGGACAGTTAATAGCTGTGTCTAAATTTGATAACAGTTTACGAACAACCGAAACCTGAACCAAGAGCAAACAATATGGAAACTGTTGCGTTTAAACAAATGCAAAAAGACTGTAGATAAAGGCTACAGCGATTAAGATACAGTAATTATAATGATAAATACAATAATAAGTACAATAAACGTTATAAATATATGTGAACATTTCAGAATATTACAGCACGACTAGCGTCACAACATAAGTGTGAAAATTGTTGGTAATACAAGTGCTTACTGAATATAAATAAGTAGTATAAGACAATATACAAAAGAGTGGGAAGGGAGCGAGTAGTAAGACAAACTTAACAAGTTCAAAAAATTAATTTATCTAGTTTTAATTAGTTCAATCTACTGTTGAATTATTATGAGTAAGATAAATTGAGGAAATACATTTAATTTAATTGAGACGATTCATATTCAAGTTTTTATTCAATCTTATCACTTTTATGATACTCTTTGAAAAACTACTTTATAGATGTTAATAACATCTAGATTTAAATAAACGGAAATGTTGAACTCCAATTATTATGTTAAGATTGAATCAAGTTATCTTCCTTTACTTATAATATAATTTTCACAGATTGAAATCATGAGTCAGTTGAAGCTAGACCACCATTGAAAACCTGGAAGCACTGGACGGCCGTTTCGTCCTAGTATGGGACTCCTCAGCAGTGCGCATCCACGATCCCGCACCACGCGGGGCTCGAACCCAGGACCTACTGGCTTCGCGCGCGAGCACTTAACCATTAGACAGCCGTTTCGTTCTATTGTGGGACTCCTCACCAGTGTGCACCTGTGATCCTACCTCGCGAGATTCGAACCCACGACCTATCAGTCTCGTGTGCGAGCACTTAACCTCTAGATAACTGAGCCGGCCGGCATCCAGCGGTGTTAATGTCTAACTTCAACTAATTCACGAGATTGAGCCACCGTTCATATATTGTCTTTAGTGAGTTACTATTTCACAACAGACCTGGTTGAATTCCACTGGTCACCGCTTCTCACTAGAACTCTAGAAAATACCTCTTGAAGCGAGTTACTAGTGAGCATATGTTGATTAATATCATAGCGGTTTTTGTGGATATTATATTGATTTCAATAGTTGAGATCGTGAATCAATTGAAGCTAGATCACCATTGGAAAACCTGAAAGTACTAGATGGCCGTTTCATTCTATTGTGTGACCCCTTAGCACCGCGCATCCACGATTCCGCCTCACAAGATTCGAACCCAGGACTTATCAGTCTCACACGCTATGTTATAACATTTTTACAAACAGAATGAGAATTCGCCCCTTCCAAAAAAATTATCAATAAGAATCTATCGCCAAAATTGTTTTATGCATTATTTATTCATTGAAAAGCAAAACAAAATAAGAGAATAAGAACTACACTGATAGAAATATAATCATAAGTGCTTTATAGAATCAATTATCTTATTCAAAAACTGGATTTATAATAAACCATCCCACTCTAACATAATGAATCAATCATAAATAAACAAAATTGTTGTTTTAATCAAATCATATCATAGTTACAAGTGTACAGTACAAATGAGTGAAATGAATGAACATAGAAGAACTGGATAGTTAACTAATTACTATTATTATTATTATTATTATTATTATTATTATTATTATTATTGAAAACCAATTAATTATTACCTGGAAGGAGCTGGAAAGGATTACCCAGGACAGGGTTAGATGGCGAATTCTGGTGAGCGGCCTATGTTCCTTCACGAGGAGTAACAGACGTAAGTAAGTGTTCTAATGTAATCGATACGACAACAATTGGAACGTTTATCAGATAATTGAAGTGTTAATATGTAAATATTGAAGTACCAATAAGTGTATCAATCCAATATAGAGTGAAAAAAATCAATTTCTAGAGGAAAATTATCATAAAATGAAGATGCTTATCTCACAAAATCATAAAAAGTTTTATAAAAAACAATTATTTTAATTGACTGTATAGGAGATCGCATAATTTTCATAGTTGAATATCGAATTGATCTTAGCCGAACCGATATTAAAAACTTGAAAGCACTGGATAGTTGTTTATTCCTAATATGGGACACTTTAATTGTGACCATACATAATCCGCATCCGGGTATCGAACGCCGGACACTAGTTGTTTTAAGATATCGTCTAACCTATTGACCAATGTTCAACTCCCGTATGCTGGTAATAATTTTTTAACTAATGACTAACTTCTAGATTTAACTCCGTCTGGAGACCCTCTGGAGCTACTGCCGATCTCAAGCCCAGGTAAAGGAGGAGGGTTGGGCATGGGGTTAGCAACCCCATTCCGTAGAAAACTAACTCGGTACGGTGGATCTGATTCAGGTGTGAAGGCACGAATCGGCAAAGAAAGACCAGCATATCTACAATTGAAGAACATCCGGAACTCAAAACAATTGTCAACCAACACCAAGGTCAGAATTTTCATTACAAATGTCAAGACAGACACTATCAGCAAGAACCTACTATGTGAGAGACCAAACCAGATTCCAGTACAGGAGGAAATCAGGAGAAAGTACTGGAATTGGATAAGACACACATTGAGGAAATCGCTCAACTGCGTCACAAGGCAAACCCTCACTTGGACTCCTCAAGGCCAAAGGAGAAGTGGAAGACCAAAGAACACATTATGCCGAGAAATGGGGACAGATATGAAAAGAACGAACAACAATTGGATAGAAATAGAAAGGAAGACCCATGATATAGTGGGTTGGAGAATGCTATTTGGTGGCTTATGCTCCATTAGGAGTAACAGACGTAAGTAAGTAAGTAATTTCTAGTTTTCATTTCGTGATTTCTATTGGAAAGTTGTGACTAATGAAGTTCAACCTAATGTAAGCAACTGATAGGGGTTATGCAATATAGTGAATTTGTTGGAACGACACTTGTCCACTGTTTGATTCTTACCTAGTGATGGTATCTTACTGAAAATTTTCAGTTTAGTCCTCGGATCCGGCGTTGTGGGTGAGCCCTACTGAGGAGTCCCATGCTAGAATTAAGAAGCTGACCAATGCTCCCAGATTTCCAATCTAGTTAAAGCTAAAATTATTTCATAACTTAACTAGGAAAATTATATTAATTCTCTAAGCAATCACTATACATACAGCATATAAAGAAAGATCTATGATATTTAAATAAGAGGATATACACTGAGGAAATCGTCAAACTGTATTATGAGACAAACCCTAACATAGAGTGCTGAAGGCAAGAGGGAAAGAGGATGACCAAAGAAGAAATTGGATACAGACATCTAAAAAACTAATAGGACTTAGAAACAATTAGAAAGGAGATCCCAGGAATTCCTGGGTGGTGCCCTATACCCCACCAGCGTTAACAGGCATAAGGAAGTAAAGTCAGTTTTTAGTATAAATTTACTCATTCATTTGCAGCGTGATTCCAACTAAGTTGTATATGTTGTTTTTCGATATGCACTTCAAGTTGGTTGGAAAATAAGACCATCTATTTTACCGTGAATTGCACAATTAAATGTCACATGAATCAATTCAGCTTTTAAGCTATCATCAAATTTGGATAAGTATTGACAAATTAATTATTCTCAACATATATACGGTAATTTGAATATTTGAGCTAGATCACCATGGAAAATCTGGAAGTAATGGACGGCCGTTTCATCCTATTGTGTGACCCCTCATCACTGCGCATACACGATCCCACCTCAAGAAATTCAAACTCAGAACCTATCAGTCTCACGCGTGAGCGCTTAACCTCTAGACCACTGAACCGGCCGGCATCCAACGGTGTTATTGTCTAACTTCAACCAATCCATGGTAATTATTGTTTGTGACATATAAAACCATTTTTATGCTTTAATTTTCATTTTTAATAAATCAACTCTTAACGGTGGTATTAAAAAGTTGGTTGTTTTACTTATCGTATAATACCAACTTGGAAGTCACGCTAACGTTTGAATTATATTTTATAAACATAATCAAAGCTACAAGACACTATGCGCTTCTTTTATTTAATATAAAAATAAACATTCATTTATAATTCTTCCTCCTAAGCTAGAATATTTATTCAAATCTAGAAGTGATAATCTTAGAGTTTAAGAAATGCTAACTACTTCTTTCTGTCCTTTGAATCTCAACCCATTCTGTTTGTTGTGTTGGCTCTTCAAAATGATCTTGTATGAACCAGATCCTATTTAACTTTTCATATGTCCTGTCGCTTTTGGATAGATATATCTCATACAATCATTCCATAGATAGAAGATCAGCCATTTGTGTGAATAGAAGTGACAGAAATAATAGTTACTAAAATAATGTGTAAAGCGATGTTTATGTAAATTACAGATCATCTATTAGATTAAAGATGGTAGAAACTCAAAGACAAACAAATAAAAAATATCAGGATCATTATTATTTTAATAGTTAAATTCACGAGTCGATATAAGATAGACCACCATATTGAAGACCTGGAAGTCACTGATAAAAGCGCATAGAAAAGTTTAAAAAAACATCTGATTGTATTAGAATAACACGTTTTATAAACAGAATTTCCAACAATGATTTCCAACGACCCCAAACGCCCTAGTATGGCCGAGAGTGGGGAGAGTCCGCTCTCCCTCTCGAAATGCTCTCACACGGCCACACGTATATAGCCTCTGCCAAAGAACTCCTACTCATTGCCTTCTCGTGACGGGGGTGTTGTTTACGAAATTGAGAGGACGAAAAGTGGAAATCCGGAGCTTTAACCGGATTTCAAACCGATGCTGCACATGGACTCCAGTATCCTGAGGGAACAAATGGCGTATGAACCAATTGTTGGTCACCGACTACCATGGGACTGCATCTTCTCACGATGCTGCACTGCCTTGTGGATCAGACCTTTAGGTCAAAGGCTCGGGGTGTGGTCCTCTAAGAAAACCACCTGTTTCGGTCTGGGCACCCGGGCAGTATCACAGCCCCCCCCACACACAAATATGGTGTGGCACATGTATATTTGGTGCCCTCTTGTACCAATATTTATGTGTTGAAATAAATAAATAAATAATAAATTTCCAACAAAAAGTAGGATACATAGGGGTTACCAATTTTTATATGGTGTCTTAAAAATGGTCTTAATATTACTAAGGACAACAACAATTGACACAGTCAGTTTTATTATCACCTAGCTACTTTGACCTTTTTTGATGATAATATAAAGATGTCTTCTAAAATTATTTATATATAACTAACCTTTAGTTATGTTATTTCCCTGTTTTTATCAATTTTTTTTTGACATCTTTCGCGCATTTAATTATCTCTGTTGTTGTTGTCGTCGTTGTTGTTGTTCAACAGTGATCTTTCTTCATAGATGTTTGAAGAGTATTGTGTTTATTGTTTGCACCATATTTGGCTAAAATTCCAAGAACCGGTTGATTATATAACATAGAAGTAGTTTGATCTAGAATAAATTTTGAATGTGGTGGTACGGATAGGAATCTGGATGTGGAATTTCTTAAATTTATTTTTTGATGAATTTGATTATCATTTTTATTGTTTGTTAATGTTGTATTCATTGAATTCTCATGTTGATGTATATTATAATCGTTGAATTTCGATAAATTATTCATCTTACTGTAGTACATAAGTTAGATCAAAAAAATGTGAAGAAAGTAAAATGAAAGATTGCATGAAATTTAAGCAAAACGTTTTTGATAATCATGAAAAAGAATTAATTATGTTCGATGCGCACTGCTGAGGAGTCCCACAATTGGACGAAACGGCTGTCCAGTGCTTCCAGGTTATCAATGGTGATCTAACATCAATCAGTTCACGATCTCAATCAAAAACTTAGTAATCTTCACAACCCTATACTGATAATTACCATGTGTTCACTAGTGACTAGCTTCGTGAGGGAATTCTCGGAATCCTAATAAGAAGCCGTGACCAGTGGAGCTAATCCGTGTCGGGTAGAGACAGGTATCTACCTCAGTACAATGGAAAATGGTCGCAAAATCTTGTGAATTAGATGAGGGTAGACAATAACACCATTGGATGCCGGCCGGTTCAGTGGTCTACAGGCTAACCATTCACGTGCGAGACTAAAGGCCCTGGGTTCGAATCAACCGAGCTGGATCTAGGATGCGCGCTGCCGAGGAGTCACACAATAGGACGCAACGGCTATCCAGTGCTTCCAGGTTTTCTATGGTGTTCTAGCTTTAATTGAGTCATGAATTCAACTACAAAACTACTAAAATCTCCACAAAACCCCTTCTGATAATAATTACAGTTGTATTGAAATCGTTGTTAGAATGTGACTAGCAAAAGACAGTTTCAGGTCACCGAAAACGGCTTAATTCTAATAAAGTATTTGTGGTGAAAATGTAATGATATATAAAAAATTTGTCTCCATTTGTTTTGATTTTAGTTCAAAATAAAACAACTGTACATGAAGTCAACATTGTAGGTTATATTTTTTTCACCTCATTGCAACGGATTCGAAATACTTGAAGAGTAATAAGGGCCCAGACATTTTAGCAAAGATTGGTTACACGTTCAAAAATAAGAAATAAATTAAAAACTCGAATATTTAGAGATGTACAGAGAAGGTTAGGTTGCAGTGTTATGCGATGTACGAACAGTCGATGGATTACAATTACGTTTCGGATAAAGCTAAGGGAGATGAGAAACACTCAATCTATATGTTTAAATATCGAGCAGCTTGATTAACAGATGCAGCTACATTGAAAACCGGTTTATCATACCCAGATCAAATTCCAGTTGTTAATCAAATTAAACATCATTCTCGGCGCATACGACATGACAATCACACATCCTTGCTAAATCCAATTTCCTTGAAATCAGTTATCAACCTCTTGATATGTCGGGAATCCAACAAACACAAACATCCCTTTTAATAGATTATATTCAAGCTGCTTGAAATAGGCGTACGAGACAACGTGACTAGAGTAATAACAATAACAAATTCGCTAAGTATTGTTTTACTTGAATCTTCCCACTTGTGTTTAGGACTGAAATTGATCAGTCTCTTATTAGCATATGTGCATACTGTGCGTATTACCTCAATATTGCCTTAATTCACAAGCATTATACGCAAAGATGGATAGTGGCTAGCAGTGGAATCCAGTTTGACGCGCGTTTCGTCCTAAGTGGGACTCGTCGGCTGGATGTACTTGCGTCTCAGAGTTGATGTTCACTCTGGGACTCGAACCCAATACCGTTCGCTTAAAACGCCATCGTGTTATCCACTTAGATACTGACTCCTGATTGCCACAAATTGTTACCAAATCCAAAAATCAACAGACTTGCTGAGAGTAGACTGTTCACCATAGATTTTGAAAAGTATGTTTTTGATTGGTCGTAAGATAAAGGGTCAGAAGGTAAATCAAACCTATTTCACACTATTAAAAGTGTTATTGCCCGTTTCAATTATCTCTTTTATTAATATGGATTCTTTGATTGTCACCCTTATTAACGTGCGCCCAGTTCAATGCCACTAATATATATATATGGTTTTTTACTACCTCAACACAGATGTTATGATGAATTGTATTGATTATTGAACAGAGTACAAAATATTATTCGAAAATATTAATTAATCAACTAGATTGATTCTAATCAATCTTGAAAAACTCTTAATCCAAAATGTACATTGAAGTGGCAATAAACAACAATTTATCCTTGACATTTTCCCGAATATGGTTATTGCTGGGGAAAACAATTTGCTACTTCGCTGAATTAAATGATTTTTCTGAGAGATATAGGCATTCGAAAGTACTGTCACAGTTCCAAATGAATTTTATTCATGAATATTAAATTCAAGGAAGATGCGGTTGTAGAAATACTAAAGAACAGACTATCTAGATCTCTCAGAAAAGTGTTTCATTCCTCGTTTGAATAAATTGGTTCCAACCTTTCCAACAGCCATAAAGTTAACATGTGTTTCTGTTTGTGAACTACAGATTAACTGATTGTTTAGTACATAGTCGATTAAAAAGCATAAAACTGAATTAAGGTATAATAATATGTGTTATTTAATAATGAGATTGATTTACCTGAATTCAGGTGAGTTACATGTCTTTCTTATAAAACGTTTCAGGAAGAAAATTATTCATTCGGAAACAATGAGATATTGTAATTATTATGTATAATATAAATGCGGTGATTAAGTACTTCGCAAACAATTATATTACCAACTATTTACTATAACGTTTTCAAACGCTGTATATTATTAAACTGTACCAATTTGTCATTTTATCTAGGTTTTGTCTCTGAGATATCTATCAGTCAGTAAGGCATACTTTTCGATTCTATAAATACGCGGATTTGGGTCATATATGCGTTCTCAAAATAGTTAAACACCAAATCAGCTCTATGTTTAATCCCGGCGAGACTCTAATTTATGGACGATACCATGAACGAATCTTAAATGACCTTGACAATTATTAGCCAATCAGAAGAGAGTTAGTATGAAGTAAAAATATATTATAAGAAACTAATGAATTACAGTGGATATTCTTCTTTTACATGATTCAAAAACTTGTTAAGGTTTGATAAAGGTTCAGATGTTCTGAAATCATAATGCATACGGCATAGGAACTCGTCCATATGGCTCCATAATAGTCGTCCTCTAGAGCCGTGGTACGGTCTTAAAAATTCTTTCAATCTCGACCACATGGATTCAATGTTGTTAGTATGAACTCCAGTAGTGTGGTCGACAAAATGACGTTTATGCGCTACGACATGGTGGATATAGCCAAGTCTATGAAGGCATCTATAAGCTCTCCAATCATCCGTATATACCGTAGTGCCCGGCTGCACATATTCCTGTATAATTGATATTATTGTGATTGCTTGCCGGTTTCTGACCCTCTGAAAATGCCCCTTTTGCGTTGATCGATCATAAATTCCAAGTACCTGTCAAGTATATTTACGGAAGTGCTACTTACAGAATCTTCCTTGATACTACGTCCCCTGTTGCATTTTCGCTTCCTCATTACTGTTTCATCTATCTCCACAATACTTCCTACTCCTCCGAATGATTGATGTAGACGTATCATTTTAAGTGCACATATGTCACGACAATACTCATACCACTGGACTGCTGAAGTTTCAGTAACATCTGCAAACGCCGCAGCCAGTGTTACTGGTGTCTTTATTATCCAATTTACAACTATTATCATGATTTGTCTCAGTTTCAGTCGCGATCGAGCGAAGAAAGTTCCCTTCCGAGCAGATGTTGTCCTCCAACATAAAGAACAACGAAATACAATCTCATCACGATAGTCTGCACACCTTACTGCAGTCATTTGATAACCGCAGTCTCAGTCTCAGGAACTTCTTAGTAGTCTCATCTCTTGTAGCCGCTCAATAATCGCCTCTTCTATAAATTCCGCTGTAAACCGATCGTATGTGAGCATCAAGTGTTGAACTTGGCTCCGTGACCATGAAATCGCTCAAACGCTCCTGATTGGCTCGTCCATAAATTAGAGTCTTGCCTTAATCCCAACCCAAATAACTAAATTGTAACAGTTATAACAACAACACTATTTGTTATCGATTAGAATTCTATAAGAAGTGTCAGTCTTTACAAGATTCCAGACATATCTTACGGATTAATATCTAAATCTATGGATTTGCCCCAATCAGCTCTAACAATATACATTGTTGTGATTGCTATGGATAAGAATGGAGCAGTCCAAAATTATATGCTTCAGTAAGAAAAACTGTTTCAAAATAAAATAGTCTACTGTTTCAACAAATTTAACATTAATATTTACAGTCAGTGAGATTAGTTACATTTGGATGTGATTATTGCCATGGCTTTATATCAGTGATATAGCAAATGTATTAAGCTTAGAAACAATGACCACTGGATTTTGAGTTAGTAGTTGAAATAGTTTAACTGTTATTATGAGAATTATAAATTCATTTTTTATTCTGGAAAACATCATCAAGAATTATCATGGAAGCCAGTATAATTGTACAGAACAACAATAAGAGGATTACATTTGAATCATATTGCCCCTTGGAATACAACACTATTAGCAGAATTCTAATGTGTTGCATATCTTTATTTCATTGTTATTCATATAGTTACATCTTAATTTCTGTCAGTTAATCACCAATATTATTATTCACATCTGTTCCTTATGACAAAAAATCTCCAAAAAACGCATTCTGATAATAATCATCTGCTCACTAGTGACTGAGTTCAAGAGATACTCTTGGAGTTCTAGTGAGAAGCCGTTACCAGTGGAGTACAACCAGGTCTGTTGCGAGATATCAACTCACTGAAGACAATGGTGTACAGTGGCGCAATTTCTTGGATTAGTTGAAGTTAGACATTAACACCGTTGGATGCCAGCCGGCTCAGTGATCTGGAGGTTAGGCGTTTGCGTGCGAGAATGATAGGTCGTGGGTTTGAATCTCGCGGGTAGTGGGATCGTGGATGCGCACTGCTGAGGAGTCCCATACTAAGATGAAACGACCGTCTAGTGCTTCCATGGTGATCTAGCTTCAATTGACTCATGATTTCAATCAGTGAAATTTCTAAAAATCTCCACAAAACCCCTTCTCAAAAAATTGAATTATTATTTAACTTACTTTGCATTATCTTCTATAATCCGATCATTACCATTATTAATAGTATCATTATCAAATGAATGAAAATTTAAATCTGTACAATTTCTATTATTAAAAGAATTTTCTTTTTCTTGATTATTAAAAGAATCACATTTTTGTTTAGAATTTTTTAAAAGTGATAATTCATGAGATTTGTACAGATTCATTGAATTTGATCTGGAATGTTGAAGTCGTTGTTGTTCTTGTTGTTGTTCCTGTTGTTGATCCAATTGATGAAGATGATGTTGTTGTTGTTCCTGTTGTTGATCCAATTGATGACGATGATGTTGTTGTTGTTCCTGTTGTTGATCCAATTGATGATGATGTTGTTGAGATGTTGGTGATAATAACTGTTCTATATCATTTAAAATATGTCTTATACTTGATTTGATATAATCCGGTTTATTATAAGTATTATTATCATTGAAATGATTCATATCAATTGTTTCACTGAATGCTCTTGTTCTTCTAGATAATTGATTTAATACATTTTCATTAGATAAATTAAATGTCACTTTAGATAATCGATTTTTATTAGTAACTAGTGAAGAATAACAATTATGTAATGAATGGTTACTATTTATTGTAGTTGATTTATTTAATTGTTCTATACCGGCAAGTATACGATATTTTTCAACTTGATTTTCTAATGCTTCAATTCTATCAGTTAATTGGCATACTTTCATAACACCTTGATTTTTTACCTAAAGATACAATTGATACAATAAATAAGATATGATTATTATATTACAGATCAGTAATGTTTTTTTTTCTTAAAAAATGAATATAATTCATAAGCAAAGATGGATAGTGACTAACAGTGGAATCCAGTTTGATGTGCGTTTCGTCCTGTTTGGGACTCGTCAGCTGGATGTACCTGCATCTCAGAGTTGATGTTCACTCTGGGACTCGAACCCACTACCGTTCGCTTCAAACTCCATCGTGTTATCCACTTAGATAGTGAGTCCTGATAGCCACTTGCTTGTGCAATGGGGTGAAGTTTAATGCGTACTTGGTCTATGTATGTTTGTATACTTTCTTGACTGACCGATTTTCTATCCTCTTACGTAACACATATTTTACACGTAATTTTTATTTACATATAATAACAATCTATTCCAAGTAGCCATGTTTCAGATTATAAACTGATATTAACCGAACAATTACTAGAAACCAGATAGCATTGGGTAGATGTTTCTTTCCTGGTAGTACACACTCATGACAGTCACAAATGATACAACCTGAAACCTTTATATCCGGTAGTGATATCTCTGTCTTTAGATTTATTAGCCAATATCCAATGATTGACATTTTAACTTCAATCGTTTCTCAGTATTACGCTACCATAATCGATTATCACTGAATCTTGAAGTTATGACTTCTTATTAGTCATATGTGGTCATAAGTTTAAGAATTGTTTTATTTGTCACTGAGTAGCTAATGTCTTGTAGTTGAATGCCTAACTTGGTTATAAGTCTATACTGATTAAGATTCTCAATATAGAATAAAATGACTTTCTAATACTCCTTCAATTTCAATGTTTACTTAGTAACAATATAATCTGTAGTGGTAAAATCTACATCCCAAATATTACTACTTTGTTTAATCTAATTGAATAGACATTGAATAGACTAACAGTAGGTATCCTGTCTAGTGTTAATTAAATAATGAGATTTGTTGAATAAGTCTATTACAATGTTTAACTTATTGAATTTTCAAATCTCGTATTATAAATGTGAAGTTGATGTGTATACAGAATTGAAGGTTTCATGCGAGAAATAATAACGGAACTAAAAGTAGCAAAATTTAAAGAACCGTTAAAGTGGCAGTTACTATTACTCAGTAATTTAGTAAAACCAGTTATAGCATTCTAGTTGATAATATCTGTATTCGAATATTAATACGGACTGATATTATCCGACCGCAGTCCTATAAAACTACAGGCCAAATAGCTTGAAATGGTCTTTTATTTTGAATAATATTAATGCCCATCGTTGACTCCATTACGATCGAATGATAATGATGTTAACAGAATAATTATCCTGCTTAACTTTATATGCCTTTAAAGACGTATTCATGGGATTCAACAAAGGAATAATACCAGATTTTTGAATGCAAATATTTAATAAATTCTGCCCCAAATGCCCTGGCACGGCCGAGAGTGGTGAGAGTCCGCTCTCCCTCTCGAAATGCTCCCAAACGGCCACGCGTATATAGCCTCTGCCAGGGAAGTCCTACTTACTGCCTTCTCGAACCAATTGTTGTTTACTGGCTTCCATGGGACTGCATCTCCTTACGATGCTCCACTGCCTTGTGGATCAGACCTTCAGGTAGAAGGCTCGGGGGGTGGTCCCTAAGAAAACCACCTGCTTAGGTTTGGGCACTCGGTTAGTATCACAGCCCTCACACATATCGAGTGAGATTTGTGTGGCACATATGTATTCGGTGCCTCTTTGTACCAATATCTATGTGTTGAAATAAAAAAAAAATAAAAATCAGTTCAAATAGATGATATATAAAGAATGCAAATTGATGAAGGCGAAACATGGCTACTTGGAATAGATTGTTATTATATGTAAATAAAAATTACGTGTAAAATATGTGTTACGTAAGAGGATAGAAAATCGGTCAGTCAAGAAAGTATACAAACATACATAGACCAAGCACACATCTAAAAACCAATAGTGAATAAGAGTATATTTCTGAAAATAGATGCAGAGTAAGTTAGTAAGTAAACAAGGAAAACTACTCGTCCACCTGATATAGTCAATTAAACACTCAAATATCAGAAGATAGTTTCTAATCACTGATTGACATCAGCTAGAAAACTGTCAGGAAATAGAAAGAACGAAATAAATTTATATTATCCAATATCCAAATTTTTTGTTGTTATACACTCACAGTGCAACTAGCTATTGAATTTAATATCGTCAAATTTTATTATGATCACATTACATTCAAACAATTAAGTTGAAATCACTTGATATAGTATGTAGGAAAAAATAAATAAAGAATAGAAGTTAGATGGTGGTTGGAGGTAGTCGACAGGAAACCCTGGACACGGGTTTCGTACTATTTGGCACTAGTCAGCAAGGTGTACCTGTAATCTTGAGGAACTGGTGCTCCTTGACAGACTCGATCCAGTGTCACCCAGCTTTACAGTCAGAGACGTTACCACTGAGCTATCCGAGCCGCGACAGACCTCCTGTAGGACTGAGATGTAGTCACAATTGATTGATCACTGGGTGGCGATCGATGTCATGCATGTTTAGTCCTTATTAGTGAAGATCGAATGCTATCGATCATGTTGAAAGAATAGAAGTCTTTATGATAGATATGCATTCTAGCCTTATGGATCCATTCATTGCCACTCAGTGATCTGAGTATTTAGTAGAATGAATTAATTAGTTTCAGTTTCTTGAATAGCAACATCATATAGTAAAGTTTGACATTAACCCATTTACAACAGAATAAGGACATTTCAGAGAGGAACCTGTACTCTTCAATGACTTCATCTTCTTAAGCTGTACATTCATATTTAAGGTAGTTTTTACACGTAGTAATCTATAAGAAAATAGAGAAATTTTGAAAGAAAAATGATCGAATATAGTCAAACTTATTCAATTACATGTCAATGGAAATGAAGTGTTGTTGCATAATATATTGTCAAGACTACCAAAACTTACTAAATTTCTCCCATAGTCCATTTGAATTTTACAACTCATAAGTACTAATTGTTACCTTCTTTTTTAAAAGTGAAAAATTTCTTACCTCATTTTGCTTCCGAAACTATTACAAAATGTAAGCTCTTGATGATTTTATCGGCTTCATTAAATAACCCAACCCAAATTTTTTATTCAGCACTTGAAAACATAAATTCTACTGACATAAAACCATTCCATTTATAGATTGACATTAATTACATAGCAGTTAAGATTCCCCAATCTTTGTTGATGATTAAAAATTTATGAAATGGGTAATTAGTAAACTTGTTTTAGAAGGTCTGTGTTCGTATGATGATGAACAAACATTTTGTTAAAATCCACTTGGTTTTGTTTGCTTGTATCTTCCCATTGTTGTTAAGGCCTACAATTGGTCAGTCTCTCGTTGACGTATGTGCACCATGTTCGTAAACGTGCATCCTGAATTCCACTGTTAGCCACCATCTATCTTCGCTGATAAACATTTTGTCACCTGTCATAATTTGTTAATTGGCTGTAAAATGTGCATCTTTGTAATCTGATTATTTCAAATCCAAGTAGCATTAACTGGTTTGATTGAATGTGAGAATTTACAAGTTTACATTTGAATTTCATTTTGAGTGAATAACTCTGTCTGACTGTTCCATCCGAGTTTTGATAAAAGTTTCGACTTGTGAAAAAAGTAGACACCAATTCTATTTGACTGCCCTTCCATACTCCTGCCTGCGAATATATATCGGGATCAACTGTTTTTGTGGATATTACAGTCATTTCAATGGTTGAGGTCATAAGTAAATTGGAGCTAGACCACCATGGAAAACCTGTGAGCACTGGACGGCCGTTTCGTCCTATTGTGGGGCTCTTCAACAGTGCGCACCCAAGATCCCGCCTCATGAAATCCGAACCCAGGACCTATCAGTCTCACTCATGAGCGCTTAAACTTTAGACCACTGAGCCGGCCGACATTAAACGGTTTTAATGTCTAACTTCAACCAAATAATACTTATGACTGTGATTTCGTCAACAGTGATTCATAATAGAAAAGAGTTACTGGATTTCCCTGTGAAAACAGTTTCGTTAATAAATGCAAGATTGTAATTGCGTTATATTGCAAATTCATTATAAGTGAAAATTGTTTTCAACTGTACATTGTCCATTCTATGTTGTTGAGTAGTATATAATTCTGACGAAAGAATACTTTTCTGTGTATGTAGTAATTTAGATCAGTTATTGTGTTTGGGAATTGCGTGGTAGGTTTATTTTACGTAATGTCAATAGCAAATGTTTTGTAAGTATGCAGTCTGATCAAATCATTGTCTGAATTTTTTTTGATGGTATTTGTAAATGACATCGCATACATTATTTATTTAGAAAGTCTGAAATCATCTTTCAAATCATGGGTTTTCTTTTTTAAACATACTAGACGTTAGTTAGATAGTAAGAACTTCTCGTCTGTTGGATCAACGGCATTGTAACATCCATGGAATTGGAGGCTTCCATCTGAAACTCAGTTGCTGGAGATAAAATCAATGGTGTTGGAGGCATCGTTCCATAAACCATTTGATGAGCGGAGTTATAGAAAACACTGCATTGTCCTTCAGACTTAAGTCCTACTAAGGAATACGATGGTTTTCTGATGCTTGGCTGTCCTGCTTAGACAGGAATGTAATTTCCAATAACTACGCTGGTGAGGTAGCTGTCCGACAGTAATTATCTGCCACTAATTACTTCAGTGTTCACTTCTGAATCAGTGCATGTACAGTAGGCCAACACATGATGGTATGGCAATCCGTTTTCAATAGAAAAACTACACAAACAATTAATGGGATTTCGGGATACCGTGTAATTGCCAGTAACGTCAACATTCGTGGACACGTCTACTGACGTTGTGACTTCTGTCACAGGAATGCACAGGTGACGCTTCAATAAATGACAGGCAGCAGGTGTAATTTTTCTTGAAGACAACTTGTTTGCCACTCCCGACCGATATTTGTTCTGTTGCGACAATCAGTTGTGTATTTCTAAACTCGCACTTCCATCCAATGTCCATTCCGAAGAAGCACACTGAATGTAGAACTGAGCACAGAGGTTTTCCTTTTGGGCTTGTGAAGCTTCAAGATCTGATGAGTTGTCCCAACGAAGTTCGTATTGTTTTGTTGAAGCAGTGTCTCAGCCGGTCTAAAAGCGTTTGACAACTTGTGTTTCTTCAGCAACAAATAATCTCATATATCGGTAGAACGTTCAATCTGATGCTTCAATAAACGAAAGGTAGCTTATAAAGTACAAAAAACTGTAAGGCATAAATATTTTTATTATCCTTTCCATGTGTCGAGTAAACATCAGACAGAAGAACAGTTGTAGAATTTCAGATCGCTTCCTTTACAATCAATGAATAACTTACCCTCTTTATGACATTGCAAATGAGGTGTAAGCGACACAAAATATGGTGAAAGTTTGGATACACATATGCTGTATCAGCAGCTGTTGCAGATGATTCATCTGTGACAACACCAATCAACTCACGTTTGTTAGTTGAGCGCCTGAAGAACGACAGGAATTGCGACAGTGAAGCCGACGTTTCACGAATTATAAAGGCAATACGGACAGCTATGGCCATTAAATTCACATCGAATGCAACTACTCGATATGAATATAAATTTTCGTTTTTTTGCTTTTGTAGGTCCCGTCAAAAGCAATATAAACAAGAAAACGCGTTTTCAAACTCATCCAATTGGCATTTGCGAAGAAGAAATGCAGGAGACAGTTTTCTTCACAAAACTCATCAAGCAACGTGATGTGAGCTATCAATTTTGCATAGTCACCTAACGTTCACAATATAAATAGGCACATTGCTGACTAGGAAGTTTGGCCTGTGAGAGCACTTTGTGGAGCATGATAAAAACACCTCGGACATCCAGGCGCTCTCCGTAAGATTGGTAAGAGAAATGCACAATATTGAATTCTGTTGTCCCCGAAATTAGAAGTGATCGCATCGTTTCAAATTCAGCGTCCGTTAACCTGCGCATCCAACAATTATTGTTGTACCCCAAGGAGTCGCGATCATGATTGTGATGCACATTCCCACGAACACTAGTCCAGTAAATTTCAATAAACTTACAAAAAATCAAGGCCAAACATTCATTGTTGATTGCGGTCCTTCGTGAACGAGATAATAACACTAAGTAAATTACCTCCTTCGTCTAATCGGCTGTGACGCTCCGCTAATTGTTCTACGTTCATTTCTACAACATACAAATTTAATATACAGCTTCTGATCCCCATGGAAGTGAGAACCTTGCATGTCATAATGACAGTACATCACTGTTCCATAAATTCTGATGGCGTTCTTTAACGCTTCAAGTGATTGGAACGCTACCAGGTACAATGTATTCAAGAACATGTTATCTGTGTCAGTGACAACGTGAGAAACGATAGAGCTTGTACTTTGTACTTTATTATCGTCCATAATTTGAAGAAAAGCTGCTCTGTCAACGAGTACTTACATTGTATATCAAGTTTAAGAAATAAATAACCAATTATTCAGAATTTAAAACTAGTCATTTAATTGAACGAAACGGAATGGAAGAAAAAATGAATTCAATTATCAAAATTACTAGAATTCCCCCCCCGTTCTGAGCATAATCTTCACTATATTATGCAACAACACTTCATTTCCATTATCGACATGCACTTGAATAAGTTTGACTATATTCGATCATTGTTTTTCAAAACTCCCCTATTTTCTTATAGATTACTACGTGTAAAAACTACCTTTAAATATGAATGTACAACTTGAGAAAATGAAATCATTGAAGAGTACAGTTTCTTCTCTGAAATGTTCAAACTCTTTTCGTTTTCGATGAACAAATGGGTTTCTTTCCTGTTATAATAAATTAAGAGTTCAAACAAATATCATTCCAAGTTGTCCAGTTCAATTAAATCTGTAATCGAGAGTTTAATTTTAAAATTTTTTTACAGTTTAACAAAATAAGTATCTCAAATTACTGAATAGAAATTCTCAACAATTACATCATAATTTAAATTGTTGAGAACATGAGTCCGTTGAAGCTAGACAACCATGGAAAACCTGTGAGCACTGAATGGACGTTTCGTCCTATTGTGGGACTCCTTAGTAGCGCGCATCCGCGATCCTGCTACCCGCGAGATTCCAATCCAGGACTAATCAGTCTCGCGCGCGAACGCCTAACCTCTAGATCACTGAGCCAGCTGGCATCCAACGGTGTTAATGTCTAACTCAACCAATCCATGAAGTTGCACTACCGTACACCACTGTCTCCAGTGAGTTGATACCTCACAACAGACTTGGTTGAACTCCACTGGTAACGGCTTCTCACTAGAACTCCAAGAGTATCTCTTGAAGTCAGTCACTAGTCAGCATATGTTGATTATCATCAGAATGCGTTTTGTGGAGATTTTAGTAATTTCAGTGGTTGAGATCATGAATAAATTGAAGCTAGACCATCATGGAAAACCTGGAAGCACTGGACGGCCGTTTCATCCTATTGTGGGACTCCTCAGCATAAACTATCAGTATTTCATTAGAAAAAAGAAAAAAGCATTTCAATGATAAAGATGTTTACCTTGAATAATTGTAATTCATGTTCTCTTGTTACTCGATCTAATTCATATTGAAATTCTTTATGAAGATTTATTATATGATTATAAATAGTCATTTGAAATTGTTTATATTCATCAATTTGCTGTTGTTGTTCTTGTAATGATTGTTGCTGATTATCATTTGCATTCATTGAACTATTGATAACAGTTGTATTTTCTTGTACATTATTACCACTCCATACATAATCCATATTAAGCTTCATGATATTAAGAAAATATAGTGAAAGGAAAGTATCACATATTTCTTAACATTATCAGTTAAATTTAAAAATAACAAAAATCAAGATTTATAAATTTATGTTTAAATCACGTTAGTTATTGACAAGGGTTTTTGTAGATATAGTAATTTCAATGGTTGAGATCATGAGTCTATTGAAGGTAGATCATCATGGAAAACCTGGAAGCACTTGACGGATGTTTCGTCCTATTGTGTGATTCCTCAGCACTGAGCGCCCACGATCCCGTCTCGTGAGATTCAAAAGCAGGACCTATCAGTCTCGCACGCGAGCGCTTAAACTCTAAACCACTTAGTTGGCCGGTATCCGACGGTATTAATGCCGAACTTCAAACAGTTCACGAAATTGAGCGACGCTGATAAGTCCTGGGTTTGAATCTCGCGAGACGGGGTTGTGGGTGTGCACTGCTGAGATGTCCCACATTAGGATGAAACAGCCATTCAGTGCTTCCAGGTTTTCCATGATGGTCCAGCCTCAATGAACTCACGCTCTAAACCATCGAAATTATTGACAATAAATTTCTCTTAAATGTGCTTTTCTTGCAGCAGCAGCATTGACCTATATTTACCAACAACCACTAAAATACTAACTTTTACCTTTGACCACTTTCATATGGATCAATTAATATCTGCCTTTGTGGATCCAGGTACATTTAGTCATACTTTACTCATTCTGTTAAAGTGCATGACAAAATATCATCTGTCATTGGCCGGAAAACAAGAAAACAGAGGATATATATGAAGTGAGTTAATGAAACACTTCGTGAAAATCGTTTATTCGATCAAAACAAACTCATTATGTATGGAGTTAATAGGAATCCATCAAACACAGCATACTTTCCTTTTGTTTGCATTGTTGAAATGCATTACCATCAACACCAATAATTTTGAATTATGTCCACAATGAACAAATTCAGTCTTTGCTGCTACCATAATTGATATTATCTGGGCTTGGAACACAGCTCTGCTTCACACCTAGAAAAGTTTTATTAAAGTACATGTATGCTGATATTCACCACTCGTAATAAACTATTATTCCCAAAACCACAATTCAACGGAGATGTGACTAGCGATATCCTAAATGAGAGATTAGAAAGACCAATTAACGTTTTGTTGACATTTTCTCTCTTGGCCAGATATGACTGAATAAACTATTTTATTATTTGTTTTCTATCCTGTATTTGTTTCCCACTTTCCGCCTCTTTCCGTCCATATTCTATTATTTACATACTTATTTTGTTAGATAATTCGATAATGTTTTATGATCATCATGCTCGCGCGCGAGAATGACAGTCCTGGGTTCGAATCTCGCGAGACGGGATCGTGAATGCGCACTGCTGAGGAGTCCCACAATAGGACGAAACGGCCATCCAGTGTTTTTAGGTATTCAACGTTGGTCTAGCTTCATAATCTCATGATCTCAACAATTGACATTATTTTCGAGTTTATTCGTCCACGTTTAACTTACTTCCTGTTCTGAACTGTTAACTATAACTTTTGATATTTTATTATTCTTATCACTACTGATTGTATACCTATTTTCTTACTGTCAATTCGTACATAAGAACCTCAACACTTGGTTTTTGTTCACATATCCACCTAGTGTTTTCAATCTTCATCATTTTGTAATTATTCGTTGTTATCACCTACACACTTTCCATCTATTTTTCGCCTGTTTTATATTCTTTTTCCACTAGTTGAAATCATGAGTCAATTGAAGCTAGACCAACATGGAACACCTGGAAGCACTGGATGGCCGTTTCGCCCTGGTATGGGACTCCTCAGCAGTGCGCATCCACGATCCCGACCCCCGCGAGATTCGAACCCAGAACCTGTCAGTCTCGCGCCTGGCGCTTAACCGACCAGACCACTGAACCGGCCAGCATCCAGTGGTGTTAATGTCTAACTATAACCAATGCACGAAGTTGCGCCACCGTACTCATGATTTCAACCAGCGAAATTTCTAAAAATTTCCACAAAACCCATCCTGATAATAATAATAATAATAATCACCTGCTCACTAGTGACTGACTTCAGGAGACACTCCTGGAGTTCTAGTGAGAAGCACTGACCAGTGGATTTCAACCGCGTCCGTTGTGAGATAGGAACTAACTGAAGAAAATGGTGTACGGTGACGCAATTTCGTGGATTGGTTGAAGTTATACATTAACACCGTTGGATGCCGGCCGGCTCAGTGGTTTAGTTGGTTAAGCGCCTGGCGCGAGACTGCCAGGTCATGGGTTTGAATCTCGCAGGTAGCAACTCTCTTTTACAAACGATATGAGGCCATCGTCCTCTTCACTTTCAAAATAGACTTTATTTGTGAATTAACTATAAATGTTAAAGTACATCTGAATTAATAATAACTTCATAAAGAAAATTTCCTTTGCTGAATTTAAATTAATACCTTTTTGTACCAATAAGGGTGGTTACAATTCAGTTTATAACTGACAGTCTAGTAAACAAAATACTCCATCAGTAATACAGTTATAAAGTGCATGAATTTGTTTTGCAGGTCAGTCATCAGTAATGTAACTAAATTCAAACTACTTTATTGAGAAAATTCAAGTGTTTATGACGCTAAGACTACTGGATACTCTTTTCATGATACTGTCAGGTAAATTAGATGTGTTATATCTCGGTGAAGATTAAATTACAGGTAACTTCCAAGGACTATTAATGGACTAATATTCTATAAGTATTCTTATTGTATAATTATTCAATAATTACATTATATGTATCTATATTCCTCTTATTATAAGCTTTATTTTGACCTATAATTTATTATTGTACGATTTACGATTCTTAAGCTATGCTCAGTCTATTAATTACTGTCCCCCTCGTTCACAGCCACTTTTTGGCTTATTTGTGTACACATGTTATTTTCTATTTAATGGTATGTTGTGGTCTGTCTGATTGATATGTAAACCGAGTATGTCTAAAATAAACGATTCGATTCGATCCAATTCATATTGCAGAAACTGGTATTGTGTTCTGGACTCAAGTGGAAGGGCTAGGAGGACATAGGACCAATAAGGACGCTAAACTGCTCATACCGGTTGAACGTCATTGGTTTGGCATAGTGCGGAGATTGTATAAGCCGTATTCTGATTGGTCGATAAGTCGCGTGATAGAAAAGCTAGACATCAAGGTCATAACAAGATGAATAAGTTATCTAATATCTTTGATTATAATCGCGCTTTAATCTTTCGATTATAATCGCAGAATATGATGCTGAAATAAATCCGCTTCATCAATTCTTTAATGACTACTTATCTAACTTTTTAATTCATTTACAATAGACGTTTCAAATTCTTTTTATCACATTAAAACTGATACTATGTCACGTCACCAACATTGGAATTTCCTGTAATGTCGTCATCTTTGAATAATTAAATTTAATAAAAGGTCAAGTGGAAATTATACAGTTCACTAAGATTGGATGGTGGTTAGAGGTAGTCGACAGGAACCCTGGACACGGGTTTCGTGCTACTTGGCACTCGTCAGCAAGGTATACCTGTTATCTTGAGGGAACTGGTGCTCCCTGGCAGACTCGATCCAGTGTCACCCAGCTTCACAGTCAGAGACGTTACCACTGAGCTATCCAGGCCGTGACCGACCTCCTATATGACTGAGATGTAGTCACAATTGATTGATCACTGGGTGGTGATCAATGTCATGTGTGTCAAGTCCTTATTAGTACAGATCGAATACTATCGACCATGTTGCCTGAACTGCTAACATCAGATTGGCAATCATTCAATATTAATCGTCACGATCAATCAAGAAATAAGAAAAGGGAATTTAATGAAATATTTTTGCTGAGAACTCTATATTGTACCAAAAAGATAATACCGAATAAAGCCATTAGTAATAATAATAATAACTCATTATCCTTTGAAAATCAAACTTTCAAATAGCCAAAACATGCCACTTACATGCTATTAATATGCATTGATTCGAATGGTTATACGTCATTATAAAACAAAGAGAAGAAAAAGTTGTCTTCATCAATCTAAAAATATTTTCATTGTCCTACAAACACACTTATTCATATTCTATGTGACAAGTTCTGTTACAACGTTCGGTTTTACTTCGACTAATGTTATAATGGTTGGGTTTACACGTATGGGACGATAATTTACCTTAGACCTTAGATTCTCTCCCACTGTCTATTCTACAGGACGTCAACACAACTCAGATCAAGAACACGTTATTAGCCTGACCACAACGTAAATATATTTCCACACCAAAAACCTGACACAATCCAACAACAATGAACAATCAATAATAAGTGAGTAACAACAATAATAAGGATAGGGGAATATATAACTCATCTGACACCTGTCAGACAATCTATGTATCTGACTAAGCAGACAACCAATCGTTATCATTCTTGCACACACATCAGTTCATTTATGCGTAGACAAGATCATTTCATTGAAGGTGAAAGGAGGAATGGGAATGTAATACAAATTTAAAATACATGTAAATACTTCAAATTACGCTTTTGTATTCGATGCTTGAATTCTGCTTCGATTTGATTTATTTCACGAATTTTCACTTAAAACGTATTCTCTAACTTTTTGGTACACCTAATGATACCACGATATTATCCATAGACCAATATATAATGAGTTAATAATCAGTGACTAAATGCGATTGTAGATTGGGACAGGAACTAATAGTTTGCGAAATCAAAAGATCGATTCCAACACAATGACTAACTTTACCAACAAAATAACGGTGTAGCAGTGAATTAGTCATTAATAGATATTTCACTGATTCACTGCTACACCAATATTTACGTCCATTGTATAATAATTTACAAAATTATTTTCTTATAACTGATAGTAAACTATTGGACCACAGTATAGTAATCAAGTGCTAGTTATTAACCATAAAATATCTGATACAATTAACCAGTTAATGAAAACAGCGCTTTAGCATGATGTTACACTTAACTTGTTGCTAGATAACTAGAATTAAATAACAAACAACGTTTCATGTATAAGAAGCACGTTGGTGGTTTTTGTGACAGTCAAACTCAACGACGTAAGATATTGTATTAAAAAGAGATAACTTTACTAGACGCTATGGATAGAAGTAAAACATGAACACAGGTAGCTACTAAAACAACCTGCAAATATCTGCCAATAAGAAAAATAATGTAATTTATGTAATGCGATGAAAACACAGATCATCAAATAGGATGAAGCTTACTTACGTCCATTACCCCTCGTGGAGGAGCATACACAGCTCACAAGCGTTCTCCATTCAACTCAATCCTGGGCAATACTCTCCAGTGATTTTTTAGTTGCTATTCATTCTTTTGATATCTGCTTCCAATTTTCGACACAATGTGTTCGTTGGTCTTCCTCTTCTCCGTTTCTCTTCACGATTCCAAGTTAGCGCTTGCATTGTGATTCAGTTTGGTGATTTCTTTATTGTATGTCTTATGCATTTCCCACGTCCTTTGCTAATTTCTTCTTCACTTGGAAGCTGGTTTATTCTCTTTAATAGTAGGTTGTTACTGGTGGTATCCTGTCAACGGGAATTGAATACTTTGAGTAGACAATTGTTTATAAATACATGTAATACTTTAATGATGGCTGTAGTAGTTCTCCAAGTTCCAGCTCTGTACAGTAGAACTGTCTCGACGTTCGTGTTGGAGATTCTGACTTGATCCTGACTTGGTTGTCAGTTGTTTTGAGTTTCATGTGTTCTGAAACTGTAGAACTGCTTCCCTCGGTTTGCCAACCTTCGCCTTTATGTCTGCATCCGATCCTCCTTACTCATCAATGATGCTTTCCAGGAACAAGGATGTTTCCACCTCTTCCACAGCTTCTCCATCAAGTGTGTCTAGGTTTGTATTCTCAGTGTTGTATTTGAGGATCTTGGTTTCTCCCCTGTGTGCGTTGAGGCCTACTGATTCAGAAGCTTCTGCTACACAAGCTATCTTCACCTACACTTGTTCGTGTGTATGGGATAGAAGGGTCAGGTTATCTGAGAATTTCAAATCGTCTAGCTGCATTCAGACTGTCCATTGTATTCCCTGCTTCCCCTCAGATGTAAAAATCTTCATTATCAAATCAACCAACAGAAGAAGGAGAAATGAAGAGAGTAAGCACACTTTTCTGAATCCACAATGTTGAACGCCCTCCCATAGTCAAGAAAGTTGGTGTAAAGTGACGAGTTCAACTCAAATGATTGCTCAACAACAATCCGTAGTGTCGCGATTTGGTTTGAGCACAACTCATTGTTATGAAATCCGGTCTGCTGATCTCGAATTTGCATGTCTACCGAAAATCTCATTTTGTTTAGCAACACTCTGTTGAAAACGTTTCCGCGAACTAGTAGCAGTGTGGTGACTCTGTAATTCTCACACTTGTGGAGGTCTCCATTTTTTCCGGTATCTTAATAAACTGTTATTATTTTCATTCTGTCAGTGCTTCTTCTTCCCATATCCTCCTGAATAAAATGTGGAGCATGTTTGCGGATATTTCTATCTCTGACTGTAACGCTTCAGCTAGTATGTTTCCTGGTCCTTCTGCTTACCCACACTTGACTTGTCTGATGGCCATCTTGATTCATTCGATTGTTGGTGTAGTGACATCTAAAGGAATGTGTGTGTGCTGCTTCGATATCCAGTGAGTTCAGTGTGACTGGTCTATTCAAGAGTTCTTCACAATGCTATACCCACTTGTTCGACCGTTCTTTGATCTCAGTGATTGACTGGCTTTATCTGTCTTTGACTGGTCGCTGTGATTTACTATATTTCCCTGCTAGTTTCTTCGTTGAGTCATATAGTTGTCTTGTATTTTCTTCTCTTATAGGTTTTCCGCAGCAACTGCTAGTTCTTCTAATGATCCTGTTTATTCACCTGTTCGCGTCTGACTATTTGATCTGTTCCTTAGCTTTATATGGTAATTAGAATTATTCGAGCCGACGTACTAAGAATTTCCGAAACAATGTAATTTAGGGCTTGCAGAACAAGACGAGAACAAATAAACGGATTATATTTGGAATTCGCGATAATGGTGAACGGGACACACAATGTCGAAATCATGAAACTAAACCATAGGACAAGCCCTAACTTGGAATCCGCAATAGGAAAAGAAAATAGGTAGACTAAAGAACAAATGGAGCTTTGAATCAGAGGCAGACATCAATATCACTAATAGTAGTTGGTAACAACTAGAAAGTAGTGTCCTGAAAATATTTGATTGTAGATCCCTCATCAGTTGGCTTTGATCATGTAAGTGAATAGATCACCTATCTGTTACCCGATCATAAATGAACAGAAAAAAATTCCCGGAATAGATAACACATCGAGAACGGTTTTTTCTTCAAGTTATTCATTTACATGGTAATGTTCAAAGTTCAGGCAATCTTTGATTGTATTCAATTCATCAGTAAACGTGTAGTGAGCATCCAGTCATGTCATTCAATCCACCGGGAGCCCCTCAGGGGCTACTGCCAGTCCTGAGCCCGGATAAAGAAGGAGGGTTGGGCAACCCCATCCCGTAGAAAACTATCTCACTTAAAACGTGCTAACCAGAAAAAACCCATTAATTCATCCTATTTCATCACAGGACTCGAAACTTTATTTTCGGAAATTTGTAAAGATTTTGCCTAAATTAGATATCGCCACAATCGATAAAATATTTTAAAATATCAGTACTGAATAATCACACAAACTACTTGAATAAACCCTTCAACCAGTTTTCTCGATCTTCGTTAACTTACTTGTGTGTTTGGACAAGGATATAAGTTATCCGACACATAATATAATTATACTTAAACATTACTAGATCAAAACATTATGAAGTTGCTCAAAATTCCTAATTATTTCAGTTTCTAACAGTTATTAACTTGTAAACTGTTGACACATATTTTCAAATGAAATGAAACTGACTGCTTTATGAACTTACCTCAAATATCTCTGCAGTAGCGTTCGAGGAATTTCTATATGAACTAATGTTCTGTATGCGAAATGATTTATTATCTGTCGATGTGGAGTTGACCGTTTTTGACTTTAGATCACGTCTAAGAACACCCAATTGTAAAAGACAGTTGCAAAGTTGACATACAACTGAAATTAAGCCATGACTCCAAGGACATCCAGATTTAATGATATGTCGGCAAAACCATTGAACCAGAGTTGTACCTTTATAAATTTAGACAGAATTCCCATAATGTTTACGTGAAATTTACGTTATTATATAGACTTCGATCATATATGCTACGCGATATAGATTGATCATATCATAACACTAATTTTTTATAGCTTAAAAGTGTTGGATAAAATCCAGTTATTCTGATAGACTGCACAAGGTTACATGTATTATATGGTGTTTCAGAACCATGTGGTATGTGAGACATCCAAGCGTAGGAATGCTATTGCTAACAAGTTATTTATTTGGCCGATTTCATTATACCCATGATTTACCTGGACGAGTATTATGACTTATGAATGTATTCACGTATTGAAATATTTTTACAACAAAGCCCCATGTATGGGCTTTGACTTCCTTCTTTGTCTAGATAGTTGAACCACCTCTAGGAACATGGTAAAAACTGAGTATAACATGCTCCAACTATTAAAACGACATGATTGATTTGATGAATAAAAAACACTATCCAAACCATTAATTTGTTCATGGAATAAGGCCCAGTGGAACAGATTCCAAAGAACAAGAGCATCAGTAAGTTACTGAATACATGAATATATGGTAAGAATCTGTCGTTAATATGTAAAACATTCAATCTAAATGGTTTGACCGACTTTTTTACCACTCTACTAATGACTCGATAAGCGTGATGATGAAGGTATCAGACCTTTCATAAATAAGCATTGTAATACAGCCAGAGCAACATGTTTTAAAAATTCCAAGCATTTTGATGAATTTTATTGTAATAAATTTACGTGATTGTCAGTAAGGGTCCCGAATTCGATTACTCAGTGAGAGGTTAGGGATGCGGGCTGTTAAGGAATCCAATACATAAAAGAAGCTCCAGTCTAGTGTTTCCCGGTTTTCAATGGTGTTCTATCTTAAATAGCTTTATGATTTCAATGGAATTACTTAAGTACTTAACATTTTCTCATCAAAGTTTTATCAGTTGAAAGTTTATACGTCACAAACGAACTAATTAGTCGAATTTCTAATGATAGTGTAGATATTTCGCTTGACGGATCGTCATTCAGCTTTATTTAAATTTAAACATTGCTAATAACCCATTTCAACTTCGTCTGTGGCTAATCAAGACTTACTACCGCTCCCAAGCCTAGGTAAAGCGATAGGGTTGGACATGAGGTCAACAACCCCATGGCGTACAAAAAAATTGCTAAAAGAAGGTTAGCAAAATTATGCAAATTAAACCACTTAAACAATGTCATCATAAATAAGGGATACTCATTAGGAAGAATTATGGTACTTCATAGTGAAAGCAAAAATTCTTCAGTAGTCACGAGGCCGATGGCCATTCTAACAATCAGAGAAACAATTATTATAGATACATGAAATTTCAGAACAATATGAGAAACAGGGTGAACCAATCAAATAGCTGCGGAAATGAAAAGATACAAATAGGCGGTTCTCAAAATAATTGGAACCCATAGGACCAAAGCTGGACAGAAAAGATTGGACTCAAGAGAGATTCTGTCCTACTCTAGTCACGAAGAAGAATATGCTCCACACACTCAGGCATTTGCACCGATGATGTCCAAAGAAGCACTCAAACCCTAAAATGTATAACTCGTTTATGAGTAATGATTTAAATTAATTCTGTATAAAAAAATATTATTGATATAAGTATTAGAATTTATGAGGTAAGTGATATTAGTGAGGCCCTAATCGAAGGTAGTTCGTACGTGATAAACAAACGTTTAATACTACAACGAAGGAAATAAGTAATGCTGGTGTAGATATTTTTCATTAAACGTTAATTCATGGCATGTAATGTGCATGATGCCATTGAGTCACTGAGTTGAATTCCAGTTGTTCACACCTCTTAAAATAGAGTTAAATCTACATTCAGAATGTTCTACTATTTATTACCAACCATCTTACAGAAAATAAATTACCTGAAAAACTGTTGGATAAACAGACTGGTTCATTTTGATTATGCACCACATTGTTTGTTGAAGTCGTTAATAAAGATTTCTTTAAAAATTCCTCCACAAATTTTTCACTCCATATCATTTTAGAAGTGTATTGGTCAGAAGATGGTTTATTAAAATGTGTTGGTGTTCCTGTTGAAGATATGGTCGCTGACGTTGATGACGTTACTGTTGTCGTTGAAGTAATTAAAGATAAAGCAAAGTGATTTAGAGTAAGGGAGGTACATAAAAGTAGTCCATCTTTACAGATGTTTGTATATAAAATTTTTTTAGACAATGATCATTATAAATATCGCTTCCAAGTAAAGACAGTCCCTTAGTATCCATAATTATACTATCATCTGATGAAAATCGTTTTTAAAAAATGATTTTCCCGATAAATGTAATACTGTAGCTATTTGATTATTTCAAGTGTTGAGATCATGACTCACCATGGAAAACCTGGAAGCAACGGACCGTGGATGAGCACTGCTGAGGAGTCCCACAATAGGACGAAACGACCATCGAGTGCTTCCAGGTACTTTGGAGAATTTTAAAGTGAAATTAGACACACTACTATCACTATAAAACTATAAAATCTTCCGTTCGAATATTAGAGGTGTTAATGTTGCATATGAGTAAACTATTATGAGCTAGGATGAAATTCTTGTGTAATTCTATTTAATTATCAAAGATTCTCTGGTTGATGGAGGCCCGAGATGAAAACTCCACACAGTTTTTCTATCGTTATTAACCAGTTCACTGTTAAGGTCTTCAGATGGAATTTTCTACGGGTTTAAACTTCTTTGTAGTTAATGAGATAAAAATCATATGTGATGGAGAGACCTCAAATAGTATGGCTCATAATCACTTTCAGTGGTACAAATACATTTTTTCTTCAATATTCCAGTAATATTTGAGCAATATTATAATTTTATAGTTTACCGTCATCCATTTTATTCATTTCTTAAGAATTTGGTGGTCCAGGAGAGTCCATCTATGTCATACCATACCTCAAATTCACACGATAAGTTAGAGATTCAGTTGTGGTTAGGTTATTGTGAGTAAGCGAACAGTTCAACAGAGCACGGTTACAACTTAGTCACCACTCAGCAATTCCTTCTTGTATTGAACCAGTAATTCATATGTACACATGAGTTTTGAACATTATTAGTCAGCCATTGGTATAAAGATTCCTACCCATTCTTTGCGATATCACTCCATATGGCTTATTGGATTGGCGTATATTATCACTGAATTAGATCACGATATAATGGAACTGCAATTTCCAGGGTTATATTTCTAATGAAGAGACAAACTTTCAAATGAAGAATAAGTACCGCTTCTAACTTTCTCTTGAAAGTTTACCCAATAAAATACAGCGAAAACTTTATATAGTCCATACAATTATTCATGTTCACTTTTGTTAACTTTCTGTCATTGACATTGCTCGGAATCATGACAAATTGAATGAATAAATATTTTTTCTTCTTCTTGAATTTATCAGAAGGGTTATTGTAGATATCATAGTAATTTCAATAGTTGAAATCATGAGTCAATTGAAGCTAAACCATCATGGAAAATTTGGAAGAACTGCGTATCCACGATCCCGCCTCACGAGATTCAAAACCAGGACCTATTAGTCTCGCGCGCGAGCGCTTAACTTCTAAACCACTGAGCCAACAACCGACGGTGTTAATGTTTAACTTCAAATAATCCACAAAATTGAAAGATCCGGTTGAACTCCACTAGTCATTGCTTCTTATTAGTGACTGATAGGTTCTGGTTTCGAATTTCGCGAGACGGGATCGTGGGTGCGCACTGCTGAGGAGTCCCACAATAAGACGAAACGACCGTCCAGTGCTTCCAGGTTTTCCATGGTTGTCTAGCTTCATTAAATTGGTTTATAATTGACTGACTGAATGCTTATAGTCCACTTATTCTTTCATTTGTATAATAAAATTTTGGATTTCATGCTGTGACACAAATTTGTCGATAATGATAATAATAATAATAATAATCTAATAAATAGATAACATTCAACTATCTAACTATATTGAATGAATGATTGTTTATCATAATTTAGTTTAAAAACTATTTAGATTTATTTTGAATTATATAAACAGTAGCAATTTTTGTATATTTGTACATGAGAAATGAGAAAAGGAAGAAGAAGAGGAAGAAGAAGAAGAAGAAGCAGCAGAAGAATAATAATAATAAGAAGAAGATAAGATATTAATCTGTTTCTCTATTTTGTCAGCTTACACATTTCACGATTATTAGAAGAGATATGTGCACTAATATTGTATATAAAAGAAATAATAGAATAACTACCAGCTATTCAAGTGAATATGACTATTCAGGTTGACAAACAAAATAGAAAGAGTTGAATGATAGAAGGATATACATATTTTTATAAGTAAATGTTAAATTTAAAGAAAACTAGTGTAGTACGAGAGATGAACTGAAATTGTTATGATTAAATATTGCAATCAATAAAATCAGGAAACCAAGAGGCAAGAGGCCTAGTATCGAAACTTCCTGTTAAGTTGAAGTTTGTCAACATGGTGTATCTGTACATTTATGGGAACTGATGGTGAATTTGGACACACGTTATCCAACTTCACAATCGATGACATAACTACTGAGCTATTCGTATTACACCTCACATCCTGTAGGACTGAGATGTATCTATAATTGTTTAGCCATTGACTAGTAACCAGTCTAGTCCTTTAGTTCTGGTCGGACTTTGTCTATCAGGCTGTAAATGAAACTAAAATGGAATACTGTATGTGGCATGACGACGCGATGACGTGGACAGGTTCGTCTAAATTTTCTTTTGTACCAGATTACAATCAACATTGCCCGGTGCCACAGTATGACATGTTCTTACTTAGTTACCGACGCATTTTACTTCTCGTGGAGGGAAATAGACAGCCAACCAGCCTTTATCCATCCAACACAATCCTGGGCAATACTCCCTTGTGATTTTCCAGTCGCCATTCATCATTTCGATGTCCGCTTACAATTCCCGATACAGTGTGTTCTTTGGTCTTCTTCTTCTTCTCCGTTTCCCTTCACGATTCCAAGTTAGCGCTTGCATTGTGATTCAGTTTCGTGATTTCCTTAATGTATGTTCTATCCACTTCCATTTCCTCTTCATTTGAAAGCTAGTTTGTGCTCTTCAACAGTAGATTGTTGCTGATGGCATGCAGTTTTCCTCGTATTACTGCTTGTCAGTCTCAATGCTTCAAATTACTTGTTCTGAGAATATCCTTCAAGTCTTGGATTGTGTTGTTGGGGACCATCTTGATTTCGTTGGGCTTGTTGGTATCTCGAAAAGGAGGCTGTACTGAACCTCTGTAATTCAGTTTCCCCAGTTGTCCATTGCCTTCTTGGATTGAGATTAATTCTGACAACCTCCAGTTGTTGATCTAAAGCTACGTCAACAATTCCTCTCCTGGTTCTCACGTTTTCCAGTGAACTGAAAATTTTGGTGATGCAAATATGGTATATGTCACTGTCTGTGTTGTGATCCGCTGAAAGACCCATGTAGCTTCGTGTGTACGTTTGTGCGGGAATATTGTGCCACCTATATTTATTTTGTTGAATGTACATAAATTTGTAATGTGTCACCATTCTCACTCCTTTCTCCCAATCAGTTCATGTCGTTCCACGATATCTTCATACCCGGTGTTGTCCATTCCAACTTTGGCGTTTAAGTCTCCCATTGTGATGGTCAGGTCCTTTCCGGAGCACTTCACTATGCTCGACTAGAGCCTCTCGTAAAACTGGTCTTTTTCGTCTTCATTTTTATCGTTGGTGAGTGCATGACATTGGATAACATTCATTGTGTTCCCTTCCTTTCATGCTTTCAATGATGCTTTGATGATTGTGGATCCATGAGATTCCTATCCTATGAGTGCTTTAAGTGCTTCTTTGGACAGCATTAATTCAACTATCTGAGTGTATGGAGCATGTTCTTCTTCATGACTAGAGTAGGACAGCATCTCTTTTGAGTTCAATCTTTTCTGTCTAGGTTTAGTTCAATGGATTTCACTTATTCCGAGAACCAACAATTTGCATTTTCTCATTTCTGAAGCCAATTTATTTGTCGTCTGCTTTAAATACCTATGAAATGGAATTTAACTTCTGCTTCATGCTTCATAATATAATCTATTTAATTTTGGGTTTTGTTAAAGAGATTATGTAGATACTTAGTCTGATCATGACTGTCGGAGAGAAGAAATTTTTCAGTTATATATCTTCAATATAGTTTTGTTACTTCAGTTATCTGCTTAAAGTTTGTTTGTTCCAGGTTCCTTATTGATGTCAATTGTTTCGCATTATCTCATACTTCGACGTTACACATTTCAGTATAAACGTTGTAAGCGATTGATGAGAGATCGCCAAATATAATGAATTCATAATACTTTGCTTCAATTTCTGATATGGGTGCTACCTGTGGTTACTAGCTAATTGTATTTTAATTAGTCTATAACACTGTGTTCAAGTCTCGATATGAACAATAATATTGTAATGATCCGATTTAGTATATCTTAGATTGTATCACCAGTCACTTTTCAAAATATAGTTTAACTTATCGCCAACTTTGTTTTTAAAAAAATAATTTTATTATGTTGTACAGTGACACGTATTTAATCCATGGAATTTGTCTATTTATGTTGGAGTGATCCAGAAAATTGCTTGCAAAAGACAAGCAAGTATCAGGAATCACTAAGACGCGTTTCATCCAATCAGCGTTCACTTGAAGTCTTAGCCAAAGGTATCAAGGAAGCGAAACGTCACATACAGAGGCTCTGATTGGCTGGCTGCTACACTGCTACTATGTTTAGTAGCATTCCAGAATCTTCTAGCGACCCAAGGACATTTGAAATATTATAAAAACCCTGTATTTTCTGTATTAAAATGAACCGTGGAGTAAACTACTTATCGCATACTTTGAGTCTTCTCTCTCGTGTTCAGGTGGCTGTATAGTTCTAGTTTGGGGGTTACAGAATAGCTTAGGAGAAGAATATAGCGTTCAATCCGCAAGACTTATCAACTTACCAGTAAAAGACACCGCATACTTTTCAAGACACGACCAAATGAATGGAAAGCAGTTCGTTAATTCCTTCATTTTGTTAATTTCGAAACGTTTTTTCTTGAAATTCGTCTTAAAATTTTTCAATTATTTATAATACAAAATACTTCACTAATAGATTCTCTTTCCTCTATCTCTATATGCCTACAGATTAGGTCACGTTTATTAAGATAATAATAATAATAATCTTTTATCCTATAGAAAATGATTTTTTGGAACTTTCACTACAGTAAAATTAGTTTCGAGAAAATAGTTCCGGAGATGTAGAAGTAGTTTTTTCTAGACGTTTTTCTTTACTATTTACATTCCAAAAGAAAATCTTAGCAGTTGATTTATACTGACGTCAACTATTTTCTTTTTAATAGTTGAAATCATGAGTTAATTGAAGCTAGACCATCATGGAAAATATGGAAGCACTGAACTGCTGTCTCGTCCTACTGCGCATCCATGATCCCGTCTCGCGAGATTCGAACCCAGGACTTATCAGTCTCGCGCGCGAACCCTTAACCTGTAGACCACTGAGCTGACCGGTATCCAACGATGTTAATACCTAACTTCAACTAATTTTCTGTTTAATTTTTCAAATAACTAACATAATTGTTTGTTCCTTTTTCTAGTCGTTTTTATAAGTGTATTTTTCATATTATGTTGATATATGCACTCTGTCCAATAAATATGTGAACTGATTTATAAAGAGTATCATTTAAAGGCATAAAAAAGAGCGATTGAATTGTACTTAAATACCTGTCTTTTCGAGTAGACGTGAACTTAGTGGTCTATCTTTATCCAGGTGTTAATCGTGCAATAAGTAGACGATAAACGTAAAGCAATGAGGCAAATGAAAGTTAGACTACCGATATTATCCGAAGACGTTTACAGCAATGAAAATAAAGATAAGAAAAGTTTGTTGTCCTTAATAAGGAAGATTTTAAAGAGGATAATATTGATGTACACGAAATATTGCCAAAAAACTTCTTATGACCCACTTATTGTGCAAACTGTATATTCTGAACAAAATCATAGAAGTGAATTTATCGCCATCAAGACATAACGAAATAATTTTAAATAGATTGACGATTGGACGAGCTGTTTATAGTGATGGTATATTGATAGATTTATAATATCCTAATGAGTAGAAAACTAAACTCCTGGTGTTTCGTAACCTAGTGTAAGTTACTTCTTCAGGGAATAAATAATCTTGTCTGACTGATACAAGTTTGGGGGGGCATGAAGAAACTTCTTTCATATTGTTTATTTATACTAAATAGACTTTTATAAATTCGACAAGACTCTAATTTATGGACGAGCCAATTGGAGGCGTTTTAGAGATTTCAAGGTTACGGCGCCAACTTCAGTGCTTAATGATAACGTACGATGGGTTCACAGGGAATTTCATACAAAACGTGATAATTGAGCGGCTTTAACGAATAAAACGGCGAGACTATAAATTGTGGACGGATCAATCAGGTATAAGATAATAGATCTCGGATTTTAACGCGAAAGACTTTCATCCATTTGGCTAAATATATTTCTGTCATTATAACTGATGTCAGATCGTGATGAAAACCTCATATATAATTCCTAACTAAGGCAAATTACGACAATTATTGCGAACTGGATAATAAAATCACCAGTAACATTGGCTGCAGCCAGGTACTACAATATATACGGATTTCGAAGAGCGTACAGACTCCTACATAGGCTTGGTTATGTGCATCATGTCGTTATCCACAAGTAGCATTTTGTGCACTCAACAACCAGACTGCACACTAACAATATTGAACCTATGTGGTCGAGGTTGGAAGAGTTTTTGAGACTTTATAATGGCTCCAGAGGCCGACTATTCTGTAGCCATATGGATGATTTCCTCTACTGCATGCGTTACGATTTTAGAACCTCTGAACCTCTTTCTAACATTGACAAGTTTTCGAATCACGTATAAGAAGTGTGTTCACTTCATTTCTTTGGTTTTGTATAACATATTTTTACTTTATACTGACTGTCTGCTGGTTGGCTAATCTTTCTCAAGGTCACTTAAGATTCGTTCAAACGTCGTCCATAAATTAGAGTCTCGCCATAAATTCTACTTGGTTACCCTTTTTTTTTTACAAAGAAACTTATACAAGGGCTCAAAGTGTCAGAAATTTAGTTTCATACTCAATCGGGATATTATTAAGGTCTTTGCATTATTAATTTGGTTCTTATTAGTAAACATCACTTGGTTACTTGATAAATTAATCGACTACCTGTTGTAACGTATAATTACCAGACGATTTTCCTATTCTATACCAAAAAAATCTAGTTGCTCCTATTTAGCACAGCTTATTCTGATTACAATATTAAAGCTAATGTACACAACAGATCTGTTGGTTATTCTAGAATGAAATCAATTATGAATTAACGAATATTGAGTGAACAAATGCTTCAAAGTTTCTTGGATGTGTAGTGACCTACCTTTACCAAAAGAACGCGATTGATTCAATAGAAACATTCATTATTATAACCAATTGTACCAGTGATCGTTTTACTGTGCTCGTTTGTTTAACTGTGCTATAGACAGCCATATTACTGCTCCCTTATCCTTCTATTGATTGCACGGGTTCGGTCACGCTCGGTAACCACGCTTGTACTCCTTTGGCACGATCTTGGTATCCTTTCGATACCACGAGATCACCAACAAATACATCTCGACTACAGCCATCAACTGCTTTCTGATATTTGGCTTACGGGGGATTTTATCGGTTAACTAGCATGTAGTCTTCTTGTAGTGGTGTTCATAGTCCATAACGACTCGACTCCACAATACAGATGAATAAACTGAAAATTTTTTATTGAGATCATGAACCGATTGATGTTAGACCATCACAATTGGAAACCTGGAAACACTGGGCGGTCGTTTTGTCCCATTGTGGGACTCCTCAGCAGTGCGCATCCACGACCCGGCGATCGGGACTCGAACCCAGGGCCTTCGGTCTCGTGCGCGAACGCTTAACCAACTGGATCACTGAGCCGGCATCCAATGATGATAGTTTCTAACATCAACCAATCCACGAAATTGCGCGACCAATTTTTATTTTTTCTGCTAAATATAGCATATTTTGGCATTCATTGTCTACTGAGTATATTCCTAAGGTTTTCATACAGTCATATTATTTACAATCATTTGGACAATAAACTGACTATCAGAAAGACTGTACATATTCAAGATTTTCATCAGCAAAAAATGTCAATAATTGTCCCAGTCTCCCATCGTCTGTGCAGTTCTTACGGACCTAACTAAAACATCTGATTGGCTTAACAAGAAAAACAACTGTTACCTTCAATATAATATCCTTGGAAACATCCCTCAACATTTATTGGAATTCACCTGAATTTGATGTAGTTCATCCCGTTTATGTATTTATTGAACAGATCATCCACATAATGATTTGATGAATCTGTGAAAGACGATCTTTATGACACTATCATGAGAAGATGCTGAAGTATTTACACCCTTACCAATTAAAAATAGTGGTTTGTTGATGAAGCATAACTTATTTAACATTAGAGTAATTGTTTTGAAAATTATTGAATCAAAATTTCATTAAAAGCCTTGAAGGTAATTTTGTAATAGAGGCTTTCTATGCTTACGATTTTCAACCCAATGACCCTGAAAAGAAAGTGCTTGATATGTAAACCATTTTAGGGATTATTGAAATGAAGCTTTATCCACATATGTCTCTACTATTTGGATTGTCGTGCCATTGGGAACACTTAGAGTTATTAGACTAGATCTGAGCTCACAATACTCCAGTACTCTACAGCCGAAGTAATCTGAACGAACGTTTTTCAAGATCAGAGAATTTTTCCAGTTGAGTTTTCAAACTGTGACTGACTTAACGACAGTAAATTTACATTATAATTGTTCATTTGATAGTAAACAGTCTCATGTTGCTCAGTTCTTGATGTTAAATAAATTATAAAAGTAGAACATAACATTGTACACTCTATCATTCAAATAAATATTTACGCGCCGTTGAAACTGTTGTTTGCAAGTAAGCAACGTTTTCTAAAATTCTCATGAACAAAACGAGAAAGAATATGTGTCCGCGAATTAGAAGCGCATCTGTTGTTTTTGTGTTCAATATGGATGTAGTATCAAGCATTTTTTGGGCGTCAGGCCATTTAGACACTGATAATTGAACGTATCCATGTTATTAGGTATGGACTACCTGATTGGGGTCTGCGTGATAATCATAATCAATGGTTGGGGAGTTTGAACGATCGTTTGCAATGGCACATGTGCATCCATTCTTTCTATTCCCACAAATTCTGAGATTCTAAATTTCTCATACTTTTTTTTCTAGTTTTCATTTTTTTCTCTAATTTATATTTTCTTGAATTGTATCTCCAATGTTTAATCACCCCTATTATCATTGATACTGTTATTACCTCTACTGTTCTTAGATTTGACCTGTGCTAACAGGTTATTGCAACTTAGATCGGTGTACATACGTTGTCACTGATTGACCAACTTTCTTTTCATTTAGTTTTCTCATCCACCAGTTTGGGATGGACCACAGTGGTATATCAATAGGAGGCATATGTATATAACACTAGATAACTGAAATGAAGTCGTGATTTATGGTTCTATATTAACTCACTAAATGAACGGAAATGTGTTCAAACCACTAGGCATTATACTTTTTTTATATTGAACATTAGAAAAAAAAAAGAATGGTCAACCTGACACATCAAAGATTATTAGCATTATAATTAATAGTTTTTAAAAACTTCTGTTTACTTACCTACCTAATGATGATTTTAATTCATTTTGATCAGATGTAAAATTTTGTTGCCAAAATGATCGCCCAAAATTATATCCACGTTGTGAAAATATCGAACGAAATGTAGACGAAGTATTATTATTATTATTCCATGTATGAGGTGGTAAACTTACACTGTGACTGTTTGGAACATTATTATTATTATTATTATCACTATTATCGCGGATAGGATGTTCACTTTGAGCTCGTTGAAATAATCTTTGTTGATGTAATTTTTGAATTAAACCATTATTATCCATAACCGTATCATTTAATGGATTATATTGTACAGGTAAATGTTTCTTTTGTTGTCTAGTTGATTGTATTAATTCATCAATTGATATATTACTATTCAATTTTTCATTTATATTTTTAGTTACACTAATTGTATTGGATCGTTTTAATGGTTGTTTATTTGAGAAATTTGATTTTGTTCGTGTTAGAATTGATGGATTGATAATTTCTTCTTTATTCATTGGTTGTTTTATTGTTGAATGGTTCATGAATGTAGAAAAATTCCTTGAATGTTGATTATTAAACTTTTGTTCAATTGAAGTGTTATTATGATTATGATTATAAATTGTTGATTGTAATGGTATGGTACTAATATCAGAAGGATGTAAAGATAGAAATTCATTCAGTGTAAGACCTTCTGAACGTGGTAGAAACATATTCTGTTTATTAATTAATCAATACTTTTTTTTCATCCACTGATGAAAACTTGTTTTGGAAAAAAGAACAAAGGAAGAAACAAAAAAGGAATTTGATGAGTTAAAACTTGAATTAAAAAAAGTAATAAAAAAAAATTAAAAATATCTGAAATATCAAGTTAAATATCTATTCCTTGAGTTGGAATATAACAAACAATATGAACTTTTCATCAGAAGGGGTTTTGTAATGGTTTTAGTAATTTCAATCGTCGAAATCACGAGTCAGTTGAAGCTAGACCATCATGGAAAACCTGAAAGCACTGAATGGGTGTTTCGTCGTACTGTAGGACTCCTCATCATTGCGCACCCACGATCCAGTTTCGCTAGATCCGAACCCAGGACCTATCGGTCTCACGCGCAAGCGCTTAACCATTATACCACTGAGCCGGCTGGCATCCACCATAGTCTTCAGTGAGTTGATATCTCACAACAGATCTGGTTGAACTTCACTGGTAACGGCTTCTCCCTAGAACTTTAGGAAATACCTCTTGAAGTCAGTCACTCGGATGCCGGCTCAGTGGTCTAATGGTTAAGCTCTCGCGCGCGAGACTGATAGTTCCTGGGCTCGAATCTCGCGGAAAGCGGGATCCTGGGTGTGCACTGCTGTGGGGTCCCACAATAGGGCGAAACGGCCGTCCAGTGCTTCCAGGTTTTTCATGGTGATCTAGCTTCAATTGACTCATGATTTCAACTCTTGAAATATGAAATGGTTATTAATCTATGATCAATTAGTGAGGATATCTCAGTCCTAAAATAATTCAGTCATCGTCTAACTTACTCGTTGGCAATGTCTATGACTATGTGACAAAAATATATAATTTTGATGCATCTGGAATCATCATTACACTTATGATTGGAGATTCTCAAAAATTGGTAATTTCGGAAAAGAAAAAGAATTAAATTACAGCACTTCTTCTACACTTAAGTTGGTTTAAGTTCAATTTCGTCAAGCCCCTTCAATTAACTTATTTAAAAGACAAAGTCATTCAAACAGTAACAATTTGTATCTCTTGGTATTATTAATAAGTCTGTATGAAAATGTATGCTTAATCACATGTGACAGCCTAGGCACATATCCATCTTTCCAGCTTAAACGTCAATTGCTTAAATCGCTTGGATAAACATTCACTTTCCTATACATATATACAATTTCGAATCATATTTATTGATTCGACTCTCTATTCAGTTCACTATTCGACACTCAATTCACCTTTGTATTCGTTCGGTCACATAAGCATTTCTTCTCGAATTCGATTGGTTTGCTTTTGGCTAAGTGATCTGTATTATTCAATAATAAACTGTCGTTGGCTTTTAGTGTTGCCTCCTGAATACATATGCCATTGGGATTTATTTAATAAGGGCTATCACGACGATTAATGTATGAAACTTAAGGAATTATCTCGAAGCTAATCCAGTACCAGATTAAGTATGTTCTGTCGTCAGGTGCAGTACTGAAAATTCCATCAAAATGCATTTTGATTTGAATTATGTTTAGCTAAATTTATAAATGAGAACGACCAGAGTTTAAACCGATGATACAATGTCAATATGACGTTGGTAAGATGAAATTGTTGTATTTTACTTATGTGGATCTTTGCATTTGACTTCAATACTTATGCTTTGTAATTTAGTATTATTTCAACCATACTTTTTTAATAGACATCAAATTCTTAAACAAACTAACCTGATTTGACTGTATCAAAATCAGCACGGTGGTGTGGTAGGTCTCTTACGACGATTTTTCTCGTTAGATAGTGAATAATAACTTCATTATAGAATTAACTAGTGGACTAACGAAATACAAAATCATTTCAATAAATTCAATGATGATCATTCACTTACAAACTTTCATGAGAAAAGTACGCCTTATTTATTAGAGGATGATTACAAACAAAAGAGTAGCGACAAAAAACTAATACAAATGAATCAAACTTCACTTGATTGCATAAGCTAGTGGCTATCTAGAGTAAGTGAATAAGTGGATAACACGATGGCGTTTGAAGCGAAAAGTACTAGATTCAAGTCTTAGGATGAACATCAACTCTGGAATGCAGATATATCCAGTCACCGACTCTCAGATAGGACGAAACGTACGTCTTAGATTCCATTGTTAGCCACCATTCATCTCTGGTTCTAGTATCTAAGTTAAAGATTTTATTTTTAACAGTAAATGTACAATAAGGGAACATCTTTGAGGTTAGATGAATAGTACTAAACATAAAAGTTTCAAATACTGTGACAAACTACTTTCATATCTTCATTCAGTATGAGAAAAATGTTTTGTACATAAGATTAAGCGTACTAGTAAGATATGCAAAACTGTTCTGGACGGTTATTATGTGAACAAACGCACTTCTTGACTTTTACACACTTTTATTATCTATTGAAACAGATCACATATATATATGTATATGCATGAAAAAGTACTTTGTTTAGTCTATCATCTTGCTTTGTTTAGCTTTTTAATGATACGATAAAATTGTTTTTGTTTAGACCAAATGAAAAGTATCATTTATATTTCTATGCAAGAAAAACTGTTCATCTATATTCATGTTATAATCATATTTGATGTTGATGAATTAGAGAAATAATTTCATAATATAATTGATTGATGTCATGTAATTGTCATAGTAACTCATTAAGAACACATTGCTCATTTCAACAGTCTATGACTTCATGAACTGATCCCACCCCTTGAATAAACATCCTTTGGCTTTGTTCCAGGATATACTCGTACTTTTGTTTGTAGATGGACATCCTACCCACGCAACAAGTGATGAAATCTGGTAAAAGTCAACCTAGCATTTAGAATTCTTGCAAAATCTTCGTTAGATTCCAACCCATCAGAGCTGACGAGACTTCAAAGATAATTGAAGTGGTCGATGCGCTTAACTACTTTATTCTATATCGCTAGTTCTAGTGTTGACGCAGATCAGACCTGAAGCAATATTTTGCATTTAAAAGGAAAGAGATGAGTTTCAAACGTATTTCATTGTTACCAAGGCTGTTGAAAGACTGAATTTTGTTAGCATCTTTACCAAACAGGGTTATATCATTTTCAAATTTCAAGTCAGCAAATGAATCGCCGGGTAGAAAATAGATTTCTTAAAAAATGAGGCCATGAGGTTGTGTTTCAAAGAATGTCTGTGACACAGTCAAGTAAAAATAGGGAAAATAGTAAGCTCTGTCAAGCACCACTTGAAACTAATAATTCTGGAAACAGTTCATGATAAGCTTTTGCTTTAACAGTAGTGTTCGAGTAGAGTGCCTGTATATGTTTAATGCTCTTTGATACTTCTTTTAACGACAGACATTCATAAACCTGTTGATGTGCGGAATCGATCACTACATTAAGGTCGGGAAATCTAACTATGTTTGGGAGCCAGTAAATATCCCTGTACCGCGAAGCCTGATCAACGGTGAATTTTCGGTTTATACATCTAAGTCGAGGTTAGAAATCGGACTAGTTCTCCAGAGTTTGTTCTTCGTGGGCCCTAATTAAGCGTTGAATGATTATTAGGACTTACATTTTAGATAACATATTGGCCAAACAGATTCCTCTGTGGTTATTATGGGAGAGTTTTTATCCTTTCTTTGTGACTGGAATGATCAACTATGAAGACCATTTAGACGGGATTACGTTCAGTCAATAGGCTCCAGCTAATATCTAATGGAGCCTAACAGCTAAACCTACACCACCGTTCATACAGATCTCTTAGGTCAATTCATCAAAACTTACTGCTCTCCCTCGCCTTACATTAAATAGGGTTTTTTCACTTTATTAAGATTCGGATGGCTTACGTTGACATGCTATTCAAATTCTTGATAAATGTAGGCAACCAAAAGCTATTTAAGGAGCAGTTAATCTGCCATGCCCATTTTTCAGCCTCTTTGGCGAGAGTGGGTCATCGTTTCATCTTTTTCAGGAATAGTCTCACCAATCTTAGAACTTTTAATATCTGTTTCCATGAAAAGTCTGAAACGTCGTCTACTATTGCCTAACGGGTATTGCCTCTTTTTATCACTTTTGTGTCAGATGTCCACTACTATTCACGATTATTGCATAGACCTTATATCAGTCTATGTGTAAATTACTTCCAATCCTCATCGTCATCCAAAAGCAGTGGGAAGAAATACCGAGTAAACATCATTCCAGCAGATACTACTGAAATTCACTAATTTGTCCTAACCTTATAATTGTAGTTACTCACAGATATCACTGCTATTTACAATGTTCTGATGTTCACAGGTTTTATGCCAAATCACATTAGGGTGAACACAACTTTGATGATTGACTAACTGCTTCTGTATTCGTTTCCGAAACTATTTGTCTGTTATCTTGAACCCTATGGCTCTTCTTAATGTGCCTTTTCTGTATTTTGTAAGACGTAAGTAAACATATGCTCATTCTAGAGAACGATCAAATTATAGGCTTTTACCGTAAAGTGAACGACGGTCCTCTTTCAAGCCTCTTCAATTATGGCTGATAGCGACGTCCATCTTTGGGTTGTTTGCGAGGTTCGCGACGTTAGACGATGTGAGCCAAGAATAAACGGTGGTTTGAGTACAGTAGCAACAGATGGTCCCTGTTCGAACAGACTCCAGAGTCGAGGTTTAACTACTTAATGCCGGTCGCACAAGATCTTTTTGTGAGAAATTCTTAATGTGTTATCTCTGTGTTTGAAAAATCGTCTCTTTCGGAGACAAAGATCCTTGGGATGGAATGAGATATGGTATATTCTCGATCACTCCTATACATTACGAGAAGGCTGCATCACTCAAATGCTGGTTGCCTAGTCAAAACACCTTTTTGCCATCACGCCTAAGTACGCAGTCCGTCTACTTTAGCCATATCGTTACCGAACTAACCTGACTTGAGGAAAGATCACTCGAATTAGTCATTATGGTAGGTGAGCCTAACCACCAAGTTAAAATAGAATATACGGTCAAATCAGTAATTC